GGCAGGAATATTCTAGCATGCTTTTATGAAGGTCAGACCTATTTTAGAAAATGTCTACGATTTCCTAACCCACCAATGAGCGTCAAAAATGTGGATTGGCAAACTCCGCCCAAGATAAAGAACAAAATTTTTAAGGGTGGGAGTTAAAAAAATTTTCCTAAGAGATAGTAAAGCCAACCTCACAGTTTCACTCGTCGTTAGTCGTCGATGTTACCAACACAGTCTCATTGTCAGTTGAAATTGAACTTTCCTGTCGTCATCTTATAACGTGAATTTAAATAGAGATATATATATATATATATATTTAATAGTACTGCGAATAGTGTGATAAAAGTTGTGTTTAAGTGAAAAAGACGTTAGTGCAACGACGATTATTATTAGTGCGATGCAGCAGCGCGAGCAAGACTTGGTGGAGCAGGCCAACAAGATCGCAACGTTGGGCGAGTACTTTCAGTGGGTTTCGCAATGCACTGAATGTATTGAGAAATTTGAAGAACACAGCCGTGTCAAGCGTCCGCGGTTATCCGTTGGCACTAAAAATTCATTGTTAGCTCGTATCGCGCGACTCGAAGGTTTAAGATACGCATGGAAAGACGCTTCATACATTTCGATTATACAAGTGCAGAACCTACCACGAGACATTTTGACAATGGTGACAGTGAATTTGCACGTGCAGGACCTTCCACAGAACATTCTGGCGGCGATGATTATACAAGTGCTGTTGTCGGCGGTGATTACGCGAGTATTGATCCTTCCACGCAACTTTCGTGGCGTGAGATCGACACCGCGTTTAAAAACCGCGTGTTAACCGGTGTGGTGGACAATGTGAGTCATATAGAGCCGCCCAAATTTCTGGAGAACGCTCGTGATACGGTGCTCCAACATTTACGGAACACTATTGAACAACACAATTGTGTTAAGGTAAACACAATATTCAATGGTGAATTCGTAGTAAAAGACAAGCGTGAGAATAAAAGCGTAAATACACGCAACCATGAACTCTTCAATACAACAGATTTACAGCAATAGTATGAGTCTCACGTAATCGAGCCTACCTTAACGAAACTCGAAGAGTTCCAGGAACGTGACAGTGGGTAGGCACTGTCACGCATCCTCAATCTCCATGTAAATATAAACAAATGCAATCCACTGCGGGTAGGATGTAAGAGTATAGTGCCGGATTTTATTAAACGGAAAAAAGCTGTGATTCACGTGCAAGCAACGGACAATGCATGCTTCGCGTGGTCAGTGGTTGCTGCTCTTTATCCGGCTAACAATCATGTGAATCGCACATGTTCATATCCGCACTACACGACGGTGCTAAATTTTCAAGACATCGAATTACCGGTTAAATTAAACAGTATCAAGAAATTTGAAAATCTCAATAGCATTTCTATTAATGTATACTGCATTGAGAAAAATCATATAATCCTGCCGATACGACTCACCAGCCAAAAGAGGGATAAGCATGTGAATCTCCTATATCTGCAGAATGAGCAGGATGATATTGGACATTTCACATGTATTAAGAACATGTCCCGCCTCGTGAGTTCTCAACTCAGCAGAAAGGAGCACAAAAAGCACATTTGTGATCGGTGAGTATCAATAAAATTTATGAAAAAATATGTTATTTTTTATAAAAGATATATATAAATTTTTTATATTTTTCAGATGTCTACATTACTTCAGCTCAAATGAAAGATTGGAAGTCCACAGCGTGGACTGTGGAAGGCTAAACGACTGCGCGATCAAACTACCGAGCGAGAACAACAAGTGGCTCAGTTTTGTCAACTACGAGAGAAAGGAACGCGTTCCATTTATCATCTATGCCGACCTGGAGTGCATCCTGAAGAAGACGGATACGGATCCAAAAGCGTACCAACACCATGAGGTATTCAGCATCGCCTATTACCTGCGCTGTTCGTACGGCGATTCGTTATCAATGTATCGGTTCCGTCGTGATAAGGATTGCATCACATGGTTCGCGGACGAACTTAATAACTTAGCGCATCGCATGCAAAATATTTTGTCAATTAATGTCCCCATGGAAACGCTTTCGAAAGAACAGTGTGAAAAATTTAATAGCTGCACGCACTGCCATATTTGTGAGAAACCGTTTGCGCCAGACGACATTCGAGTACGCGATCATTGTCATCTAACCGGGCGGTATAGAGGTCCTGCACATTCTAATTGTAACCTAAATTATAAAGACTCACATTTTATTCCTATAGTTTTCCATAATTTGTCCGGTTACGATGCACATTTCATCATTAATGAAATCGCCACCGCGTTCGAGGGCACGGTTAATGTATTGCCGATAACGAAGGAAACGTACATTTCCTGGTAAAACTGCAGAATAGGGGACCCAGCTCCTACGACCTTGACCTTCAAGGTCAAGGTCAAGGTCATCCTCCTGAGTGACCTTCAGAAGGTTTTAGCCGTCGCTCGTTGTTCGTTAAAAAGTTATTAACAAAAAAGTTTGGTTCATGTGTAAGTTGCAAATACGTTTATAACATGAAATTTAAGGCAAACTGTGACTCTAGATGGGTCGGCATATTTATATATATTTAACCCGGGTTAACTGTTCTGTAAAGCAGATAATTTTCCATCATTTGTAAGTCCATACGCTGTCACGCTTTTTCTAATAGTCGCCGGGCGCGACAGAGAAAGAGGCGGCTTCCGCGAACGATACGCTGCCTTCGCCGTCCCGGGCGAGTCTCCGGAACGGGCGTTACAGCGGCCAAGTTGGGCGCCAGACGCGCTCGCGGGCGGCGTCAGTTACAGGCCGCGAAAGATCCCGAATCCCCGGACGATAGTGGCGTCGGTCCGCTCGCGGGGCGCCGCGAATAAGCCTCCTCGACGCGAAAAAGGCCGGCTGCTCTCTACCGTCGGTAGAGTGGCGGGGTCCCGTAGTTACGGGCCCGCGGGAACGGGACGTCGGGACGGGACACGACACACGCACACACTTAGACACGCGCACAAAATCAGACTCGACTCGGGTTAAAAGAAGAAAGTAGGCTGTTTAATCGCTCGAGTACAGTAACGCGCGAAAGCGCGGGACGTAGGCGGCCTCGCAGATCGGCCACAATGCAACACACAAGAAAAACAGAATAGGCCAGGGGCCTCCGCTGAGGCGAATTCGCGATCCGTCGGCCTCCCGAGCCTCGTCGCGGGAGGCCGTTCACGCTCGCGGCCCGTGATCCGCGGCTGACACCCGGCGTGCCGGTCCGCCGCGACCGAATTTCCCGGTGCGGGCCGGAAGGCGCCCGCTCGAACAACGGCGCACGAGGCGTCCGTTCTACTCTCCCCGCCGAGGTCGCAACACCCGGTACCCGCCCGCTACCGTCGCCCGATAAGCCCGCGGCCGGTCCCTGGGAGCTCCCGCGCTTGGCACCGTCGTTCCGCTCGCGACACGAAATGGCCGGCTCCTGCTCCCCCTCGGAGCGGATGCCCTACGGCCCGGAACACTAACCGAACGCGGCGCGGTGCCAGAACGCGAGCTAACCCCCTCGGACGCACGCGGCTTTTACACGAAGAATTGTCCCTCGAGGGCCACCTCACCGGTACGTCTCCAGGCTCCCTCGGCGCGGTCCCGGTCGGCACTCTCCCCCTGGGCTCTAGGCACTGCCTCGTCTCGCGTGCTCGGCACTCAGATCGCCGGCTCGGCGTACGTCCTTCGCCGCGAGGTTACCGTATCGAGGATCCGCGAACGAAAGCGGAAGATCCGGCGCGGAACGGGTCGATTACCCGATCGCTCGCTGCGATCGCGAAAAAGGGGCTGCGCGAGATAGCGGCGCCGCGGATCCGCCAATCAGGGGGTCGCTCGCCCGGCGTGTCGCCGGGCCCGCAGGGGCGCTATCGATATCGTCTAGCTGCCGGGCGC